TGGAGGTGGAATCTCACTCTGTTACCCAGGCTGAAGTGCAGTGGCATGCTCACAGCCACCATAGTCTTGACTTGCTGAGCTCAGGAGATCCTTCCACCTCAGCCTTCCAAGTAGCAGGAACCACAGGCACGCACCACCATGCCCAGCTAATTTTTTTATGTATTGTAGAGACGAGGTCTCACCCTGTTGCTCAGGCTGGTCTTGAGCTCTCTGGCAGTCCTCTTGCCTTCATCTCCCAGAGTGCTGGGATTACAGGCATGAGCCACCACACCCAGCCCAGGCATGCTCTTTAAGGCAGGACATCTACCCAAAAGAAGGAAAGAAGTCACACACCAAATCTGACTCCCAACACACATACATACACACACACACAGCACACACATCCACAAAGCACACACCAGACTCCAGGCCTGCCCCAAGGGGTCTGCTGCAAATCACATATTCTGTTCAGAGAATCTCAGGCCAAGGTCTACCCAGGGTCTCTGGAGGTCTCCTGTCTCCTCCCATTGCCCTCCTCACTCTAAAGCAGGCAGCTCCAAGGATAAAACAGCCACCAACCTTTTCTATGCCAGGACTCAACATGTTGGGACATGTTCTCGAGGGCCACTCAGGACCACGGCCTCCTGTCTGAGCATGTTCCCAGAAAGTAGGCCACTTAGGGATGGTGGGAGCCTCAGCTTGAAGGATAAGTGGTTCCAGACCAGCCCCCTACCCCAGGGGGAAGGACAGAAAAGAAAGGTAGAGAGCAGGAGAAGAAGGAGGGTGTGCGTAGTGGCAGTGGTAGCTGCAGGAGCCTCCTGGGAAGGGAGAGGAAGTGCTGGGAGAAAGTCACCGTTTCTCAGAAAAGGACCGGGGAGTTCCCAACAGGGGCCGTCAGTTTTCAGAGGAACTCATCTCCATACACGCTCCCAAGAAATGAGACCCCAGAGGAGAGGGGGAACAGAGACATCACATTACTGAGCGGAAGAAGCCCTGCTTGCTTTTCTTTACTTTTTTTTAAAAGGAGACTGAGATTGGGGAAATAAAAGAAAGAATGAGGCTGGGCGCAGTGGCTCAGCCTGCAATCCCAGCACTTTGGAAGGCTGAAGCAACAGGATTGCCTGAGCCCAGGGGTTTGAGACCAGCCTTCTTCATTAAACAAGATCATATAGGCACAGTGCTTAGTCTGACACGTAGAAATCGCTCCAAGAATATTAGCGCCGGGCTCGGTGGCTCAGCCTGTAATCCCGCGCCTTTGGGAGGCTGAGGTGAGTGGATTGCCTGAGCCCGCGGGTTCGAGACCCGCCTGGGCAGCGAGACCACATCTCTACAATAAATCAAAAAATTAGCCGGGCGTGGTAGTGCACGCCTGTAGTTCCAGCTACTTGGAAAGCTGAGGCAGAAGGATCGCCGGAGCCCAGTAGGTCGAGGCTGCAGTGACCGGGAGCGGCCACTGCACTCCAGTCTGGGCGACAGTGAGACTCCAACTTACAAAAAAAAAAAAAAAAAGAATATTAGCTATTATTACGACTGTACAACCATCCCCATGAGAGGCATCCTTGAAATTTAGTATCTATTTATACTTTAGTGGGAATCTTAGGTAGGTTTTCCAGAAAGCCAAAAAAATGAATTTCTAGTGCTGAAATTCAGGCGTAGGCAAAAGGCTTGGGAGGCTGAAGGTGTCTGGTAGCACAAATCTATCTGTCTTAATGTAGGATCGGTTCTGATCCTTGTGCTGACTGGGTAAAGTCACCCACAGGTCAGAGTGGGGGTTCCCAATCTAATTCTTTTTTTTTTTTTTTTTTTTTTAGTTGGAGTCTCACTCTGTCACCTAGACTGGAGTGCAGTGGCACACTCACAATCACCGCAGCCTCAACCTGCTGGGCTTCATGATCCTTCCGCCTCAGCCTTCCAAGTAGCTGAAACTACAGATGTGCACTACCATGCCTGGTTAATTTTCGATTTATTGTAGAGACGCAGTCACGCCAAGTTGCCCGGGCAGGTCTCGCGGGTTCAGGCAATCCACTCACCTCAGCCTCCCAAAGTGCTGGAATTACAGGTTGTGCCACCGACCCCGGCCATCTACCCTTTCTTCAGATGAACCTGCCCCTGCAACAGGGGCACAAGCGTTGGGCAAGAGAGCTTTCTTATCTGAGGCCAGTTTCTGAAAAGAACTCGGTTGTAAGCACCATCAGCCAACACTCCCATCAGCCACTGGGGAGAGCAGGTACCTGGGTCTTGCAGGGGGTTCTGGGTGGTGCAGCACAGTGTGGACAAGTTGATCACATCATTTAGGAACCAGAAGGCAGTGAGGAAATGCCATTAACACAGGCCACC